TTATTCCTGAGCTGTAAAGCTGAATTTTCAGCATCATCACTCCAGTCTTCAGTGTCACATGATGCTTCAGAAATCATTCTAATATGCTGATTTGCTGCTCAAGAAACATTTCTGATTATTATCAATGCTGAAAACAGTTCTGCCTCTTATTTGAAATAGAACAGGAATTATAGCATTATACAAAAATCTTGTCCGGGTTAGCATTACTTTGCATAAAAATGATTGACGTATTGCTATTGTTTATTTTATTAGAGTAATGCAACAATTCACTGCACTGGTAGTATATTGTGTCATCTGTTCAAAGGCATTTCCCACAGCTCATGTTTTCTCAAGGTGAATTGAAATGGCTGCTCTCTTTAAACCAGGTTTATACAGACTGCAGGCTCATTGACCTGTGGTATTTGACACACCTGAGCGGATGAATGGACTGGCATTTTGAGGCCGGTCCAAAAGTTCCTCTCACAACGTGTCTATTTAAAGGCCGCGTCACATGCCTCCACCACTCCTGGATTTGTTTTTAACCTTAAGCGCTCATTGTTGGTTCCACCCACTCCACCTTTTATTTGGGTTTTAGCTTTGTTTGTCCAGGCTGCTTTGTTTAATGGCCAGAGTTTGCGTTCGTTGATCTGCATTTCTCCAGATGCACTGCTCTGTGTTCAGAAACGTATTGCTTTAACTTCAAAACACATAAATGTGAAGTAGTGTTGTTAGGTTATTAAAAACTGCAGACCACGGTCAAACAGGTTTCATGCCAGCTCAAACATGATTTCAGCGTCATATTTTAACATCTCATGAAGTTTTGAGCCAAAACACGCATCCATCCAGCAACCTGATCTAACGCTAATCTATCACTGCATCAGAGTCCAGTTCCCCGTATCCGCTACACACTGCGAAACCTGCCAGAAGAAAACTTAACTCAACCGAAGTTGCTTTTTCTTATTTCCAGAGACTTAAAAGAAAGTTTTACATAAGCATAAGCTTTTCTCTCAGATAAAATGTTTGAGAAGACATAACAGCAGACACAAATGAGTAAAGAGTTGTCATTTAGAGCAACCCAACTAACAAGGAACGTTCTCAGCAGAACTTTGGCGAATGTTCTGGCAATCTTCTCTCAAAGTTAAGGACAAACGTTCTTCCAGTTTTTATATGTTACTATTTGTTTTGAAATGTCCAGAGAACATTTAAAAATAATATTCACAAAATGTTTGCATGTTCTCTTACTTTTTTGTTCTTGGGTTATACAAATATTATTTTAAAAATGTAAAAAAAACTGGACGTTTATTAAAACAAAAATAATGTTTTAATAACTTTAGCAAAACATTCTTACAACATATTTTTGTTATCTGCAGGAGTTATTTGGTCTTTAATAATGTTGTTAAAATGTTAGCACAAAAATGTTATTTATACAGTACATTGTTCATGGAACATTTTATTCTGAAACGGTTTAGTTGCATGTTTTTATAACATTTGTTAAATGTTACTACTGTTAAGACAACATTCAAAAGCAACGCTCCCATAATGTTTGGAAATCTATAAAATGGAATGAGTGTTCACATAACCAAAAAAAAAAAACTTTAAAAAAAAACTAGATGTTTTGAATGTTCAGAGGAAATTCAGAAGTAACATTTGGTAGAAGTAACTTAATGGAAACATTAGCAAAACATTCTTAGAACAGAAAAGTTCTTTCAAATTTATGAACAAATGTTCTTCCAGTAATGTTATCTGGTCTTTAATAATGTTTTCAAAATCTTAGCTGTATGAATCTGAATCTGTATGAAACATTAATTCCCTTAATATTGCCAAATGATAAAATACAATGTTCCCTAAACATTCGCATAACCAAGAAAAAAGGTTTTTAAAACATTCTCAGAGAACATTCAGAAATAACACTTTCTTTACTTAATGGGAATGTTCCCAAAACGTTCTTAGAACATATTTGCGTTAGCTGGGAGAATGAATGTACATAGCAGATCATGTGATCTTGGAAGAATTCTTATTAAGATCATATTAAGATTGTAGACAAACCTGAATACAATTTGAGACATGGTTGAGACTTCTACTGTAATTCTAGAGAAGACACATGTGAGATCACTGAAGACTTACGCTTTAGATGAAACAATTCTCTCTCTCCTAATTAAAGAGCAAATGAGACAAATCTTAATTCAGGACAATCACAATCATTTCTCCTAACTAAAGAAAGGAACAGCAAAATGTGTCAACATGGAGAATATCACTGCAGTCAGCATGTGTGTGTGTGTGTGTGTGTATCTGAAGACGTGTCAACAACGAGCAAAGTCTAGAGTCCTTGAAAAGAGCATTGCAATAATCAATTAGATACCATCAGTTATTCTTAAATTGACACTGATCATTTTTAATACTAAAGACAGAATGTGCCATTTCACAGCGGTGAGTACACAGAGGAGTAAAGTCATCAGGTTTCTGGCTGTGGTGGTGTCATGGTTGACCGGCTGTCCACCACGATGACATTTCCATGCATGATAAACAAACGTCAGCATTTATAGCATTTGGAAACGTGAGCAAAATCAGGCTATCAACAAACAAACATTCTTCATTGAAAAGAATAATGATCCGACGTTTTCCAAGAACAACTTGACAGGTTTACTATCAGATTCGACACCAGCATTGAGCACCATTCAGAAATGATTTGAGAATGCATTTTTAATTCCTGAATTTGAACTTAAATTAAGTTGAGGTAGCAGACAGACAATTCAGAGCTACAATTCAAATTTGAATGCAAGGATCTATAGATTTGTTTAATCTTTTAATTTAATCATTTTTTATTGATTTTATGGACTAAAATCTGAGAACAGAATGATTTCATTTACCTCAAAAATCTGCATATAATCAGTGGATTAAAAATATTATGTGAATCAGTTATTTGAAAACAATGTAGTTGTAGCATTTTTTGTCAGCATTTACTGACTGCATATAAGGAAATAAATTAGCAAAGTTTGTCACAATTAATGATGCAATTATGTTTTTTGGACTAAGAAAATTCCTGTTGTATGACTATGTGCAATTCACTACAATTCCTTTTCCGGTTATTCCAATTAACAACCTGTGAGGCAATTACAGTATAAATTTCCAAGCAAATCAGTTCAATTGACAGTCACTAAAACATGCATGAAGTGTCCGATCAAGACCACACATGCACAAAAACACATATCTGTCAGATCTGACCCTTAGAAATCATTTATGGTAATGACCACCTTGGTTTCCAAGCAAATGTGCAACAACAAGCCACAGAAAGAGCCACCGCCGTCTTTTGCCGAGGAACATGATATGTAATTTAATTTGCTTTCACTTAGGTGACCGAGCAAAAACAATCAGCCTCTGATGGGACAGTCTTCGCTTCGCCTGCTCTATTGTGCATTGTGCTCATTTTTAGGCATCATTGGATCAGTAGATTGATTCAATGAGGTGGGAGGAACTACAGCGACCAATCAATTACATATTCCAGTTCACCTTAGCCAATCAGATCACAGGCATGAATAAAACTGCAAAACCTAGTTTGAATCGAACCTCTGAACTGTGCGCGCTTTAAAAGCTATAAACAAAACCGTAAAGCCCCCATGACCTTTAAGCTCACCTTTATTGACTTCAGTAAATGAAGTAATGCCTCCTCAAACAGATGTGCAAAAGGAGATAATGTCTGCGGGTGAATTGGCTTTATAATGCGAATCAAACATAAACACGAGCAAAAAGCCTGAGTGTCAGCTAAAGGCTTTTATTCCCCGTCCGAAATGATGATGATGGTTTTCTGTGAATGATAAGTGTGTTTGTCACGTATTGTGATAAAGAGGGACATTTGTGTCGCTTGTTTGCCGGTCTGATGTCAGGAGAACGCTTAGATTTGGGATTGATCAAGCACTCGGGTCAAGCTGTCATCGCTGTTTGGAAATGTGGTCACGTCCGCCTGGAACGGATCCTGAATGTCAAATGTTTTGCAAATGTTATAAAGATAACAGCTATTGGGAATATAAATGGCACACATATAACTGATTATCATATCAAATATTGCCATTCAACTGCAGTCAAACATAAGTTGCCAAACCAGATCTGTTAAGCATTACATCACTGATTTTTGAGTAGGCCTACCAAGACTTTAGCTCTCAAAAAAAACATTTTTTTTTTCATTTTGTTATCTGTCCAAGTTGTTCAGAGGTATTCACTTGTTTGCATGTGATATACTTTTTCAATAAATTAATGAACTGAGACCACAGAACGATTTCAGACTGATTTTTAGCTCCATCTATTGAATTGTCACCACAGACTAAAAAAAAATCTTGGCAGGTTAAATTAAGACATTTTATCCCATCGCTCAAGTATCAGTGATATTATGTTTGCTAATGAATTAGTACGGAAAGTTATTTAAACTATAATAATCAAACAAACCCATTGCTTGTAAAGTTGTTTCTTCTGTTTATATATCATAGGATTATTTAATAAACCACACCTAGACAAATAAATAATAATGAAAAGACATTAGTTAGTTAATGCCATAGATACTACACTGAAAAGAAGTGTGTATAGTAACAATTTTCACTCTGAAATTGCTATCATTCTGTTGCTAACGAAAGCAAGCAACGTTGAATTAAACATGAAATTTCGAAGCAGAAATACTGAAATACTATTTTCTCGTAAAACATAGGCTACTCCAATAATGTTTGTTTACAACTTCGAAAAATCATTTTAAAGTGAACGTCTATTTATAAACTAGATACTCGTTGACGAACTTGAGTGAGTCTCATAGATGGTTTTAGTCGTTTAATCGCACGACTGACCACAGCAAATTCTCACGTATTTGCGTTCCGTTCATATTTGCACAGAAACGCAAATAAGAGCAGACGTGACGCTTCAGAAGTAAAACATCGCAAGCGTGCGCTCCTTATAACGGACGCGTTCTAATTTTGACACGTCGCGTCGTTCTCAGTGCAGTGGTGACCTTGGGTTGATAGCGTATAGAAACGAGCTCTTACCCTCAGCAGAGAGAATCTACGGTCCCGTTCTTCACTTCGCAGATAATTCCTCCCGTTTCCAGAAACTCAAACGCTTCTTCAAGGCTCCATCTCAATCTGTTTTCTCACAGATGTGAACTTTGCTCCAAACACGGCGGGATTTGGGTTGCCAAGCGGCCTTGCTGATACAGACAAAAATGTAAAAACAAAACAAAAATAAAGTTGAGGACAAAAAGTCTAGAACGATGCAACAGGTGCGCTCGAGCGAGAGTGACAGGTGATTCGCGATCGTAACTCTACCTGCCGTGCGAAAGGGGGCGGAGCCTGCATATGAACGCATGCACTTTTAATGCAGTCTTTCTGGAACATACACAAATCATTTTAGTCATGGAATATTTAAAGAGCTTCGCCCTGTAGCTTTACAAAAAGGACATGAATAACTTGGCTATCCATTACTTACTGATATCAGAATACAAAAAAATGTAAACACATTCAAAGAATAGGCTACTAATATAACATTAAGTAAAAAGATATTTTAATATTTAAATAATATTTATAATATTTTAAACTGATTTAAAATAACATTGAATAATTGCAATATTTTCTAATGGTGCTGAATGTGCATCCACTGTATTCATGTCAATTTCAATATCACACAATGCATTTAGGCAATTCCTCTTGTATATATATATATATACATTTTTGCATTGAAACTGAATCACTAACCATTATTTACTAATATTGTAGCCTAACTAAAAATTTAAAATAACATTAAATAAATAAATAAAACTGCAAAGACCAATGTAACGTTAAGTAAACATGTAAATAATATTTCATATTGAATTAACAATTTTCTAAAGGTTCTGCCTTTAGACTACTATATTACTATATACACTATATTCATATCAATTTCACTTTCACACAATGCATTTATGCATTTCCTCAACTTACAAGTATATATGACTGCAAATAATTTAAATTTAAGTTTCACTAACAAATATAAATCATAAAATAATTTTTGCTTTTCTCCAGAGCTAAAGCATGTATTGTGCACTATACAGAAACATTTCTATACCAGTATACCACTATGTCAGATTTTATAATGACTACCTGGAACCAAAAAATTTTTGGTTTATTGGTTTATTGAAAGTCATCCCTACATTATCAACCATTTTATTGTCATCCTTTATGCACCATGTTCTGGCAAAGCAGAAAATTGGTTTAAAGAGACATTCCTGGCTTAAATCGATATAACCGCATTTATATTAGAATGTGTATGCCATCTTGTGACGTTTGTTTAGAAATGTAAGCAAATTCCTGTTCCTGGTCCAGTTCTGTAACCCTGTACGATCAAGGAGAGGCATCTTCAAAGAACGGAGTGAAAGAAGAGCAACAGGGTGGAACATTGGACAGGTTTGGATGTCACTGGTTATGGAGCAACTCAGGCCTGCAAACACACTTTTATCTTCCTGATCAGTCTGAAATCAAGATGAAGGTTTTTTTCCCTTATTTTTTAAGAATACAAATGTAACCATTTACTCACCCTCACATCATTCCAAACTCAAATAACTTTCTTTATTTTGTGGAATAAAAGTGGATGGGGACCACGGACTGTCAAGCACCAAAAACAACAACAAATAACACCATAAAAGAGTCATGAACATAGTCCTGCTCTATATTCCAAATCATCTATAAGCTTAGAAACAGACCAACATTGTTATTAAATCTTGCCTACTTGACAGCTGCGGTCAATGTTTAGACATTCTGCGAACTCCTTTTAGTTCTGCACGGAAAAAAGACAGACATGAATGTAAATTATAACAACATTTTTGGTGAAATTTAAAAAAAAACTATCTCTTTAAAGGAATAGTTCACCCAAAAATGAAAATTTGCTGGAAAATTTACTCACCCAATAGGATCCATTGGTGAGCAAGTGATGTAATGCTACATTTTTCCAAATCTGTTTTGATGAAGAAACAAACTCATCTCCATCTCGCATGGCCTGAGGGCAAATTTTCATTTTTGCTTGACCTGTTCCTTTAAGATGAAAATACACATATCACATCAAACAGAAAAACTTCACACACACACACACACACACACACACACACACACACTATAAAGTTTAAGTCCACTGGTATACAGACAGGTTGGTGAACTGCAGTGCATGCACACAGACCAGTGGAGTGTTTGACTTTGGGAACCTTGAGTTTTGGTTTATAATTAACATCAGAGGACAGAAATGACACATGAAATGCTCACTTTCTCAGGATTACATTGACTGCTGAAAGAAGCAAGTTCTGTTAAACATTATTCATAAAACTGCACAAAAGAATGACTTGGTGATAAATTCAGAGGCAAATGACTTTGTTTGAGGTTTGGTGAAACTGGACATTAGGAGAGCAAAGAGCAATTTGCATGTGGATTTGAATGTACAGTTTGCAAACAGAGTTGACTGTAGGGCACAGCAGTGATTTCACACAGTGAAAAACATCATTTCATATTCTAGAGAAGATACACACCAATAAACCTCGCACAGTAAAACCACAGACTGCACGCGATTAGGCTAAATCAAATCAGAACATATTACATGTTAAACAGACGCCCTCTACTGGAGAAACTAACAACGTGCTTAATACGGCTACAAAAAAGTTCTTTATAAAGTCATTCATCTTATATATCTATTATAGCCTATACACAATTTTCGTTTCATACCAGACAAAAAAATTGTAACAGCAACTCCTATTAATAATGTTTCATACATGCAACAAAAATATATATTTAATGTTTTTGCTTAAAATTATTTATTAGAAAAATATATAGGCTAGCTTTTACATATTGTTGTCGATTTAAACAAAAAATCTTTTAAAACATTGAGATAAGGCATTTTGTTAATTTAGGATACATTTGCTTTATTCTAACAGATTTTGGTCACGTTTTATATAAAAAAATGAACGGGAATCATTTAGAAAGTTCTGAGGCGCTCAAAGCCTTATGACGCCACAGAGCGCGTTCGAATAGAACTCTCGGGGTATATAAAGCGCGTGACATTCTTACATTCTTTGTGGGTTTGTTGTAGTGGTCAGTGAGTTTTCACAGCAATGGGACAGCGAGGTACTAAAGTGAGTCCGATGACGGTTGGCGAGGTGTACGATCAACATCTTAGTACACCCCCAAAACCCAGCACCAACACGGCGCTTCAACATCCTCATCCCCGCGATGAGACCCCTGTTGGTGCTGGAGGAGGAGGAGTAGGAGAAGAGGAAGGAGGAGGAGAGGAAGGAGGAGGAGGAGGAGAAGAGGAAGGAGTAGGAGGAGAGGAAGGAGGAGGAGGAGAAGAGGAAGGAGTAGGAGAGGAAGGAGGAGGAGTAGGAGAAGAGGAAGGAGGAGGAGGAGTAGAAGGAGAGGAAGGAGAAGGAGTAGGGGGAGAAGAGGAAGGAGGAGGAGGAGGAGAGGAAGGAGGAGTAGAAGGAGAGGAAGGAGGAGAGGAGGATGAGGCAAAGGAGAGGAAGGAGGAGGAGAAGGAGAGGAAGGAGGCAGAGAGAGTGAAGGAGAAAAGAAAGAGCAAGAAGTGGTGGCGGAGGCTGCGCTCTTTCTTCAGAGCTGCCAAAAAACAGCCTCCAGAGAGCAGCTCAGGTCAGGGAGAGGAGGAGCAGCAGCAGGATGAGGGAGAGAAGAGGAAGGTGGCATGGGCAGGAAGAAGTAGTGATGGTACATGACACAACCATGTTATGAGAATATGATTTTTTCCACTAGAGCTGTACTTTGACCATGTAAATCTATCAGGACCCTCATACACAATATCAAAAATACACATCAGTTCATGCAGGCATGGTCAGATCTTTATTCCAGGACATGTTAAAACATTATTGTTATATGTCTTTATGTACTAATACATGTTAAAACTATAAATATTAAAGATAGTCTCTATCAAGTAAAATAGTCATTAAAATTAATAATCTATGAAAATTAGTTTAAATAGTTTTTAGGTTAAATACAGCATCTCACATCACAAGGCACTGAGTTCATGTGAAATTTTGTTACTTTTAATAGACTACATCTTCAGCCGTTACACTGTGGGCGATCAGCTGGGGAAAGGTGGATTTGGTGTGGTGTATGAAGGGACACGTCTGGAGGATAATCTTAAAGTAAGTAAAATATATAACACATTACCAAGCTAGCAAATGTTTTATCCTCTAAACCCTCTTCTTAGACTATTTTAATTATTTAATACATTTTATTTTTGTTGTTCATCAGGTGGCTTTGAAATACGTCACAAAGACCCAACACACGAAATGTATATTCATTGTAAGTACATTGCACTGTAAAAACAATATAAAATGTCTCATATTAATATTAACCACAAATTAAATTAACAAACTGGTCCAAGACTCAGCTAAATCCCTATTTGAATAACCACCTCCACGTAACAACATAAAAACTCAATTCTTCTAGCCTGATCAGTCAAATCCCCTTCCAAAAGAGATCGCCCTCACCATCCTGGTGAATAAAGGTCCCAGCGTGCCAGAAATAATCAGGCTGCTGGACTGGACGGACCACCCTGACCACTTCGTCATGGTCCTCGAATGTCCCTCTCCCTGTGAGAATCTCGTGGAGTTCATCAGGCGTCACGGTGGAAGTCTTAATGAAGAAACAACACGGCAGATCATGTGGCAGGCGGCTCACGCCACAAACACGTGCCACCTCCGCAGAGTGCTCCACCGTGACGTCAAACTCGAGAACCTTCTGATAAACAGGGAGACATCCGAAGTCAAGTTGATTGACTTCGGATGCGGGGACATTCTGAGGAGGTCACCGTACAGGTCATACCGTGGTATGTATGATGTAATTCATTTCTTCTAATAGATACAGAACAATCATGCTGCATTAATGCAAACTTATACATCATACAAACTCCTCTCTCCTCCAGGCACAGCAGCGTACTCCCCTCCAGAGTACTACAGCAGGGTCAAGTACTACGGTGGGCCGGCGACGGTCTGGTCACTAGGGATTGTGATGTTCGCATTGTTGTGCGGACGCTTCCCTAGTGACTATGACCTGTTCCTGCTGCAGTACAAGCGCTGGTCCAAACCCGGCCTGTCAAAAGGTGAGATCTTCATCTAAAAAAAAAAAAAAAGAATCATTCAGAATCATACAAAACATCTTAGAGCTTAGAATAAATAACATGATCAAATAGAGCATATTTAAAGTAATTTAAGGTGTAAAGTTAAAGGTTATCAAATGTCTTTCCCGTCTTCCTGCACAGAATGCTGTGACCTCCTCAGGGCTCTCCTGCGTGAGAAACCAAGCCGGAGACTTGGTCTGGGGCAAATCATGTCCCACAACTGGTTTAAGGTAGTGAACCTAAGATCAGCTATAAAGAATTAATGTCCTCATGAGAAAGAACCAAAAAGTCAAACCTGTTCTTTTTTGTGTTTTGTTTCAGGTCGTCTCATAAGACCACTCCAGTTGGCGTCTCTCATGCAGCTTTGCGTCTTGCGGGCTGCAGTGGGAGACGCTTCCATCCCTCCTCTCGCCTTTGCGTCTTGCGGGGCGAGCAAGCCTTGTGTAGCGTCTTGCGCCTTGGCTTGAGGAAGCAGTATTTGCGTCTGGCGGTACTGCTTCCGGAGGGATGTGTACATATTGTATATATGTACATACTTCTTTTGGTTGCCCCTTTTTGTTTTTCCCATCATGGCCACTCCATTCCTGAGGTCCCTGCCACAGCTGTCCAAATGCCAGAGCTCTCTCCCATTCTCTGCCATCAAGCAAGCCAAAGATACTAAAGAGGTTCCCGCTATGGCTGCTCCACACCCCAGTGGTGTCATTGCGTCCTCAGGGGTTCCTGTAAAGGCCCGAGCCAAAGACAGCCCCAAAGGCTGTCTCAGTCCACAGCCACCCTGGGCTCCAGTCTCCCAGTCATCCCTATACAGGCCCAGAGGTGTCTGTCATGGCCAGATATTACAGTCATTACTTCTTCAGAGGTTCCTGACTGTGATAAGGTTCAGCCACAGCCAGAAATCAAAGCATCTCAGTTCAAAATCTCCCATGTCAGCCACTCTGGTCTCCAAGCTCCCTTCATCTGTCATTGCCTCTTGGTCCTGTTACTCCTATTAAAGCTGCCAAAGATGGTCCTTTATTAGGTGCCATGGTCTCCAAGCTCCTTGCAATGTTAGCTCGGTCCCAGAGCTCCCTGCCTCAGAGATTCCTGTTACAGAATGCAAAAGTGAACAAATTATTAAAAATGAGTTTCAGAATGTTCAGTTAATCAAAAAATATTTTTTATTAAAGAAACATTAAAAGTGCACTTCAAAGTGTCTACTTCAAAAAAAAGGAAAATTAATATTTTTGACTACATTTTTAAATGATCTACACGACATATAGATCCCAGTCTTATGCAGGTCAGTGTTCTAGAAAAAGTTGCATAATTCTGCACTAGGGAATTGTTTACAAACAACAGCTGTCAAGTATTTATGAAAATACTATTACATATGACAGGTTACGAATTGTAATCAAACTTTGATTTACAGATAAGGAGACAGTAGTGGATTGCATAGCAATAAAAATCTCCAACAGTCTGTCTGCTGTAGCCACAGATATGTGATGGGTCAGGAATAAACACTAGGGGAAAAAAAATAAGACAATCAACACTTAGTGTAACAAACTTAACAGTGTGCATACATCTCATGAGAAACCAGGCTTAAGACTTAATAGTTATGTTTCACTTCAGACCAACGGTGTCTCAGATGTTTCTCCTAAAATAAGACAAAATAAAACTAGATTGACTTTTGCGTACACACTTTGATGTCTTGGCAAATTGAAGCATAGTTTGAGACACAGTTGGGATTTCTTCAGAAACTCTACAGGGTACAGATGTGAGATTATGCCATCTGACATTTAAGAGCCTAATGTTACTAATCGTCCGTCTCTTTTGTTTCCCGTGTTTTTTCCCATGAATGAAAATCAGCTCATTTTCTGAAGGCCAGTCTAAAGCTTGAATTATTAAAGTGTGGTTCATTCAGGAGGCTGATCACTGTATCTGGTAGACGGATTTACTGCATCTCTTGCTTTGTCCCATGCTCATTTTACGATTCTTTTGTTCTGACAGTGGCGTTACAGTCTGGGTTACGGCAACTGCATTGTGCTGATAACCAAGCCATGGCATGAAAATAGACTTTGCCTTTAGCATGTTGCTAAGATAAACACATGACACTCTACACGCACAAATGAAAATGACATTTCATATGAAATATTGTGAGAAACAGACACTTTTGAATTAGACAAGTATTTTTTATCAATGCTTTTTAAAATGCATTTAATAGTCAACATTTCTTTTAGTGTCTGAGGACTGTTACAATATCTCAGAATTTGGTGAGAATGTGGTATCTTACAAGGTAGAGTAATTATGCTGTCCATGTCTGTGCTGCAAAATTAATGTGCATTTCAATGAAAATCAGTTTCCAGGACGCACAACTTTTGTTGACCCGCCAGTCAGTGTCATGGTGAGCAGCGTTAATGCGGCATCTCCAAGCTAGTGTGCTTTAATCAAGCTCAGCTAATTCAAACCTTCACAGACGGTGAAAGAATCAAGCTATTTCAGTTTCAGTGGAGGGTTTCTGACGGAAAAATCTAAATATATATATATATATATTTCAATAGTTTCTCCTGGACAGCAGTGAGGTTGAATGAAGACTGTCAAAAGTAGAACCATTTTTGGTTCCCCAAAGAATATTTCAGCAAACTTTTCTTAAAAGAACCATTTTTGAACCTCTTGTGGAAAGGTTCCATGGAGGTTAAAGTTTCTTCATAGAACCATCAATGCCTTTAAAGAGTGTACACTCTAGTATGAACTCTGACCTGGTGAAGGGCGCCAGCGTCCCGAGCCCCACAATTCCTGTTAGGCCGTACAAGCAGATCAGGATGGAGCCGACGATGACGTCAGCTCGCAGCACGTACGACTGCCAAATGACGAAATAGAGCGCCAGCAGCACTGCGGCAATCAGATTCGAAGCTGTGTAGCTCTCGCTCTCCTGTAGGTTCCCCCTGATCCCTGAGGAAGAGTGGCCAATGCACATTTTTACTCATGGATTGCCTAAACATAAACAGGATAATGCCAAACTTACCCCAGTACACCCTCAGGACCTCAAGACTGGCCATGAGAAACAGTAGACACACATCTAGAGCGAGTCGGTCATCAGGATAACTCAACACATAAGCTGTCATAAAGATAGCATAAAAACCACAAGTTAGTTCAAATTGCTAACCATATGCATGCACGAGCAATAGTACTAGTGATGACTGACCAACCAAACACCACTAATGACCTCAAAAAACATTACAAATACACTTTTAAAGGACTTAAGAGGAAGTACTCACTCTTGTAGATGATCATGGAAAGGGTGGACAGGAAGTAAAACACACTGTAAGCTGCTGAGAGATACAGCAGGATTTGAAGCAGCACTGATGAGAGCTGCTGTCAATTAAGGCTTAAGACATAGAAGTATTCTTTGGAGTATCTTATCAATACCTTATGAGTATATGAATATGAGGCTACTATAGTAAATTTAATTATTACAGTTTTTCTCAATTGCTTTGGCTCAATTCTCGAATGAAACTTTTTTTTCCCGAAACAATAAGTTCAGATCTCTGAACAATTAGCTTCTTGTTCATATCAGATTGGAATTTCTTATTGATTTGAGCAAATTGCAAATGCTTTGATTTGCACTCACAGTTTAGAGAATGTTAAGATTGTTTCGAAAAATGTGCCAAAGCAATTGAGAAAAACTGTAAATAATTATAATGGATTTTAATTGAGTTAGCAAACAGGATGGAAAAATGCATTTACATTTTTAATGTAGGAAAGAATTATATTGTTTTAACAATTCACGTATATATAGCTGGTAAAAGTAAATTTGCCAAAACACGTTTTGAATATTGAGTTGGCATAAACTTTTAAAGTTTTGAAAAGGCTTTAGAGATGATAGATAGATAGATGGATGGATGGATGGATGGATGGATGGATGGATGGATGGATGGATGGATGGATGGATGGATGGATGGATGGATGGATGGATGGATGGATGGATGGATGGATGGATGGATGGATGGATGGATAGACGGACAGATAGACAGATAGACAGATAGATAGATAGACAGATAGATAGATAGATAGATAGATCTAAAATGCAACTTTTTGTTGACCAAGCGTAAAGAACACTTCTTTTCCCAAAATGCATTACCTGTGTTGATTTGCAAACTCTTCCGTTCATTCAACTCACTAAAAAGGAGCCAGTTCTTAATTTCTCAATTTTGTCTAGTCCTGTTATCTGTAAGTTAGCTATATAATGCTTTTTTTCAGCGAATATTCACAAAGGATACAACATTGGTGTTCCTGCCTAAAAGAAAAAAAACACAATTACAATTGACATCCTAAGCAAAACAACCTAAAATAATCCAAATATACTCACCGTGGACATATTAAGAAAAACAGTTGTACAATGGCCTGAAATACATGAAATAAAAAATATATCTTGCACTTTGAGGGAGTTTCATATTAAAATATAACGTTAACATTCCGCTTCTCCATACAGCACAGGAACGTCGACAGGCAAATAACGCTATGAAACCATATAAATAACGGTGACATATTTAAAAGCTTTAAATAAATAGTAGAGAAACAAAAAGATTTTAGTAACGTTTAAAACTGCGTTTATTTTCGCCGATTCAGTATCTATGGCAACGACGCGGGTTACCTGCCATCTTGATCCGGTTCCTCTTCTCCGGTTCTTCCGGTCGATGCTCTCTAGCGCGCCCTAGTGAACGGAAGTGACGTCAACGCAGGACATGCTTACAGAATAGAACGCAATACAATATATTTATAGACGTTTCTACTTCATTGCTAGGCAAATACAACACAAAATACATTTAATAATATATTATACAGAATAACAAGAAAGCAAAGCCATACCAGTGTAAGAATTTTTAAAAGGTTTTGAAATAGGCTACTGCTTGATGATTCAAACATTTTGGATTTTGAATAAATTTGCTCAGCAACATTAAAAGTTTCTCTTTCTCGTTTGTACTCTTTGGCTTTATTAATGTTACACTGCAAAATGAAAAGGAAAAAATACAATGAATGTCATGTAGATGCACATTCCAATTTTCCACAGTTTTGTTTATTTGTATTTTTTAAATTATTTCAAAAGACACTCACTCGAGATTGGAGAATATTTTTAATCATTATAAATGATTTAATACCTTATGTGTACATACACTCTTAAAAATAAAGGTGCTTCACGATGCCATAGAAGAACCTTTTTTGTCTAAATGGTTCTATAAAGAACCTTTAACATCTGAAGAACTGGTTCTGTTTCACAAAAGCTTCTTTGTGGTGAAAGAAGGTTATTCAGATTATAAAAAGGTAAGAAAGAGATGGTTCTTTAAAGAACCTTTGACTGAATGGTTCTTTGTGGAATCAAAAATGGTTCTTCTATGGCATCGCTTAAGCACCTTTATTTTTAAGAGTATATGCAATTAATCAGGTGTGTAAATTAAATTATAAATAAATGATTGTGAATTTTAAATGAGGTTGCAAACAGGATGCAGAATTGCAAATCAAATTTCTATGTGAGAAAGTATTAACTGAAATTAAAATAAATTGTTATTTTTAATTTATAACTGGAAAAACAAAGTTTGTAAAGACTGACTTTAAATATTGCCATGATAAAAACTTTGTTTGAAATTTTTAAAATTAATTTAAAAGGTTAATCAGTACACATGGTCCTGTGAATGGGTTTTGATTTTCAATTAAATTGCAATTTTTTATAAATTAATTTGCAGATTTGCATTGCTTGATACATGCAACTAAAAAAAAAAAAATCAGTTTTCTTCATATTGTTCATATGGAAACATTCCGTTTTAAAAATATCTGCAACCAGTAATAACACGCACAAACATGCACATTTATCTAAAACAAACACAGATGCACACACTTCTTAATTTACTGGAATGTATGATAAGACACATCAGTCAGCATGCAGTGAAAAGACACACCTGCTGAAAGAGAGACAGGAAATTCAAGCCCTTTCTTAAGGTTTTTGTGTGAAAAATAATCTGAAAATGTTTTAGAGGGTAATGGATTGGGGTTTTATTTTGCTAACAACTTATTTTAGTAGTAAAAAAAGTTCAACGCAAGGCCTAAATCACTACAAACCACAGTGTCTGTCATCATTTGGTTATAGATTAGCTTTACTGAATGACATGGTCTCAATGACTTTAGTCAACAATAGCCGTATACAGCCAGAGTAAGACATGCTGTAACTTCACATACACACACACACATACACACAAACACACACACACATTCATTGTGGACAGGGTCACATGTGTGCGGCCACACTGCTACGCTCACATTTAGACGAAGTGCATTAACACAGCCAGATGTTTCTTTGTCTCTGCAGCCTCAAGCTCTCTTTTTCTCGCCTGCATCCTCCCAAACAATCCACGCAGTGTGTCGTGGGAAGAACGGGCATGTTGTTCAGGTCAAACAGAGGAAAAAGGAGAGCCAGAGAAAGAGAGAGAGAGAGAGAGAAAGATGCTCCAGCTGTGAGTAAAAACAACAAAACTGCATTTGATTGGGAGGGGGGTCGGATAGACACAGGGTCATTGTTTGTAAAGAGGTCGCGGATAAAGAGACGAGAGAAACAGATCACTCAGCTCATGCAGTGATAAATGATGGCGTTACACTTCATTCATTCACAATCCCTCAACCAATAACATGACCGATGTGCTGCCGCAATATTTTAAAGACTGAATCACGAAATCTGCATGAAAAGATACAAATGTGCAGTATTATTATTATACTGTACACAATCATAATATTACCATGTAGTTTTTGTAAGCTAAGTTTTGTGCACTTCATAAAAAGTAACAAAAATAAGTAAAATAAAATAATAGCTAGTATCAGCTGGTATCATGCTAGTTCGATTTCAAAATTCATACACCATGGTATTCTTATGTGTACAATGTAAATGATAAATGAACTAAAAAATGGTGGTAAAACAATTTTCACTCAGAATTTCTAGTAAATTTCATAAATAATTGCAAAGAAATATGAAGTAACACTGAATCAAACATGAAATTTTGAAGTATAAAGGCTGGAATATTTTATATATAGCTTATTATAGTGTAAAATGTAATCTTTGTTTAATTTACAACTTCAAAAAAAAAAATTTCAAAGTGTACACTCTTAAAAATAAAGGTGCTTCAAAAGGTTCTTCACAGCGATGCCATAGAAGAACCATTTTTGGTTCCACAAAGAACCAGTCAGTGAAAGGTTCTTTAAAGAACCATCTCTTTCTTACCTTTTTATAATCTGAAGAACCTTCTTTCGCCACAAAGAACCTTTTGTGAAACAGAAACAGTTCTTCAGATGTTAAAGGTTCTTTATGGAACCATTTAGACAAAAAAGGTTCTTCTATGGCATCGTGAAGCACCTTTATTTTTAATACCATGGTATTTATAAAAGTAAAAGCACCTAAAATCACTCAAAAAATTCACAGCTATAATTTGTCCCATACAGTAAACGTTGCAAAAAAAAAGAAAAAACTGCCAGTTATATGTCATGCTGTTATGTTTATGGCAACACTGGGTAAGTTACTCTAAAGAAGTAATTAATTATTACATCTTAAACAGTGTAATTAGATTACTGTACTAATTACTTTTTCTAAAAGGTATTACTAATTAGGCTAGTTTCTAAATCCCATATCAGCCTCCACAAGGACAGAACTGCTCTTTTAATTCTTTCAAATACATAGACGAATATAAAATTGCATAAATTATTGATCAAAGTGTTTACATTTAAGGTAACATTAAAAACACACATTTTAACATTAGATGTTTGATTTGGGTGTAAAATCCACTATTGCTTTATATTTAATTGTTTAAACATCTATAGCCTATTTAATGCAATTACTTCAGAAGTACACTGTAAAAAAAATTCCGTAATATTTACGGTAAAAAAACGGCAGCTGTGGTTGCCGGAATTTTACCGTATTTTTCACTTCCAAAAACGGTATACTACCGTAAAATAAATGTCCAATACATGTAATGTCCAATACAGTTTTTCACCGTATATAGTAGGGGAATTTACCGTTAACCATTTAACAGGTTTTTACTGTAGCATTTTTACAGTCTTTTACCGTTAAATTCACGGTCATTTTTTACAGTGTAGCCTAACTGTAATTAAATTACAGGAAAATTATAAAACGTAAGAGTAATCCCTTACGTTTTCAAAGGAAAAGACACTTGATTTCAGTAATGAATCACTTTAGTAGCCTAATACATTTCACCCAACACTGGTTTCTTTGTCTGTTTATTTAAGTTTCTTTGTTTGTCTCATTTCTGTGTTTTTTGAGTCATGCGGGCTATTGCAACAATGTCGGAGTTGTAATTTAATGGGAAAGCATACATTTGAGAAGACATGTTTCATGTAGTTGGCCTTTCATATGTAATAAATTACCACGGCTAAACCGGATTGAAAAGCCTTGTTAAATCTAGTTTTATTTTTATTATTTTTTATTAGCAAACAAGTCAGAATGAAAACAATGTAACATCTCAATTCAACATCATCCAGCCCTCCCTCCCCCCTCCCTCTTCAACCCTGCGGTCTCTTTACAATGGGGAGCACACTGAATACATAATAGAGTTAACAGAAAAAGTCACAGGGATCATGAAACATGAATTTCCGTGAAAAAAAAAACAAAAAAAACACCCGCATCATTCTAAGTCCAAGTCATTGTTCTGTGTAATATATTTGGAGATCTTCTCAGCAGCTATAGTCCAGGTCTGTAATGTAGAAAGTTGTGCCATATTCACCCGAGCCGTGGATATTTCTAACATAATAATGTCTTGAAGTTGCATTAGCCACTTGTACATATCCAAAGTATGTGGAGGGAGCCAGTGTTGTGCTAACAATTTTTTGGCAGATGTCAACCCGGCAAGCCAAATCATTTTTTGCAACTTAGAAAAACTCAGTTACAGTGCATATACTGCATTCCAAAAAAAAAAAATTCCACATCATGTGGAAAAGTTAAATCTATTTTTTTGGGGGTAGCCTACATTTGTCTTTCCTCTCGCGCTCACTCGTGAAGCAGAGTGGAGAGAGAGCGCGCAGAGAAGGACGTTGAGCGCGTTTGACTGAAAGAGACTCGAGCGCTAAACCTGCTCACAGGATCATTTTTACCTTCAAATGACTATTTCTCATGAAACACGTCTGTAATTATGTATCACGGTTATAAATAAACGAAATCATCGGGGAAAACTGGAATATGCCTCCACCTGACATCCAAAGGTAACATTTCCTCAGAAAACGAATGTGTTTTACGCGAGAAACTGAAACAAGTGAGCGGTTTTAAGTTATATTAAATAATAATCCAGAGGAGATACTGATACTGAGTTTGTTCCGGGGAACTCAGTGGCTTGTTAGTAGGCTATATAAAGATAATTGTGCGTCAAGTTGGGATGATGAGAGTTTGTCCGCTCCGTCCGTTCATGTTCATGGAGTTTATAAGCGGGAGCCGCTAGAATGGAAACCGTGATTGATGAAACGGAGGCCTTACAGAGATTCTTCGAAGGTAAGACAGTTTATTGATCACATGTTGATGTGACAGTTCAACAATAGTTTAAAAAGATTACGTTGCAGTGATGTATATCAGATGGTAATACCATGGTACTAGTGATAGTTTCCATACCTAATCTAAAAGGCTGAGATTTTGAGACCATCTGAATGCTGAATAAATAAGCTTTCCATTGATGTATGGTTTGTTAGGATAAGACAATATTTGGCTGAGATACAACTAGTATTTGAACATCTGGAATCTGTAAAATTTGCATCTGGGTGCAAAAAAAAAAAAATCAAAGAAAATCGCCTTTAAAGTTGTCCAAATGAAGTTCTTAGCAATGCATATTACTGATCAAAAAATAAGTTTTGATATATTTACAGTAGGAAAGTTCCAAAATATCTTCATGGAACATGATCTTTACTTAATATCCTAATGATTTTTGGCATAAAAGAAAAATGCGATCTTTTTTTTTGACCCATACAATGTATTTTTGGCTATTGCTACAAATAGCTGTACCACGCAGTGTTGGGGAAAGTTACTTTTAAAAGTAATGCACTACAATATTGCGTTACTCCCTAAAAAAGTAACTAATTACGTTACTTCGTTACTTTTTATGGAAAGTAATGCGTTATTACTTTTGTGTTACTTTCGCATTACTTTTTAAATATAAGCAGGGCTTGATTGTTTTAATGCACATTCACATTTAGTCTAGAACTACAGTAACATCATGTTCACACAGCGCACACAACGCCTCTGTACTCCCGATTTCTCCCAATATGGGGACAGGAGAGCTGTCAGTCAATAAATGGGAAAACAAAGTAACTGGCATTACTTTTTTGAAAAAGTAACTCAGATATTTTCTTGTAAATTAAAAAAGTAATGCGTTACTTTACTAGTTACTTGAAAAAGGTAATCTGATTACGTAACTCGCATTACTTGTAATGAGTTACCCCCAACACTGTGTACCAGTGCCGCTTATGACTGGTTTTGTGCTCCAGGGTCACATATGTCTGAGTCAATCTGACTACATTAGGTTACACCTATAAAAGTAAGCGATTGTCACATCAAGCAGAAATATTTAAAAAACAAAACATGGTTTATGTCCAAAAACATGGTATTACCATGCGTTGAAGAACTTGGTATTGTTTTGGTATACGTCCAAAAACATGCTGGTACTTTTTGTTGCTTTTTGCTTGTGATGAAATTAAAACTTGATTATATTCTGTGTATGTTTACTTATATATTACATAAAAATATCATAGCATTTTTTCCTATTTACCTGAAACAATACAGAAAAAAAACCTCCAGTTAGTGATAATGGATGTTCTTGAATGTTCTACACTTATTTCTCAATTTTCTACAGCTAAAGCGCAGTATCAATACTTATTCCAGTTAAGGTACTTGCTAACGTCAGTTGTTTGCCAATATGTGTTGGTAGGTATTTTACCACCACGTGTCCACTGGTAAAGTTTTTTTAAGGACTTGTGTTTCAAACATTATTTGTGTGTGAGCAGGATTAAATGTGTCATGCTGGATTTGTTTGGGGGGAGAGACAAAAAAAGCCGCCAATGAGGTCAGACGGGCAGAAGGCAGTGAAGGAATGTTGGGGAAGGGCAGAAAGGTGGAGAGGATTGCAGAGAAAGAGATGATGTACGGATGCAGGGAGCGAAGGATGGAATCCAGAGGAGAGAAAAGGAGGGGTTTGAGGAGAAACACTGGGAAGGACAGAGGAATGTGATAAATGGTGTGTTTGTAATGGTTAAGACAGACATTGAAAATAGGAGAATTAAAGAGAGAGATGGATTAATGAAAAGGCTAGATTGCTGGGAGTGTTGGGCAAGAAAAAAATAAAATATATTGAAAACAATTGGAATGAATCAGATGTGATATCCTCTGATTTGTCTATGTTGGTGAAAATCAAAGAAAGAAAGAAAGAACGAAAGTGACAATCTATTTAATGACAATCTAGTACACGTTATCACCAATTTTCGTTATGATAATGCAAAAAAAAAATCAATTTTTTGCTATAATGTAAAAATTCACAATATTTTTGTTACATTTTAAAATACATCATGGTAGTGTTTGCCTTTTAAAAGATACAGTATTTTTAAATTGCAGTTTGTTTTTGTATTTTTTTAAATTACAGTAAAATGTGAATAATGACCAAAATAATTACCAAAAATAGTGATGCATTGCGGTAATGACAATTTGATCTTTTTTAAGTTACAGTAATGAGAATCACTATTGGGAATAATGAGAATTACAAAAAATATCTGGTTACATTGCAGTAATGACAATTTGACAATTTTTTAAAGAAATTACATTAATTAGAATCACTATTGAGAAGAATGAGAACAAAAATATACATTGCAGTAATGACATACAGCAATAAGAATCACTATTGAGATAATGTGAATTAAAAAAAAAATAGTTGCATTGCAGTAATGACATTTTTTAAAAGAAATTACAGTAATTAGAATCACTATTGAAAATAATGAGAACAAAAATATACATTGTGGTAATTATATATTTTTTAAAGATTACAGTAATGATTATCACTATTGAGAATAAGGAGAGTTACAGAAAATATCTAATTTGGAGAGAAAATGTCCTTAATTGTCTTGAAAACAATATAAAAACCATAATGGTCCTAAAACAATGACTTAATTTGTATTTTCACATTTAATTACTTTTTCCTTTTGATTTTGGGGGTTTAATGTGACCTGGACATGTGTGATTCATGGACCCTTTTAAGCATTACTTGTAGTTACATCACTGGAAAGTAGGGATGTAACGATTAACCGTGAGCCGGTTGAAAATCGATTTAAATATGTGACGATTCAAATCGGTTGAGATGCTAAACAAATCGCGATTCAATTAGGGGTAGGAGTTTATATGAATGTATGTCTGAGGGGAACTTACTGTCTTTCGATGGTATTTTTTCTTTTCATCTTGCCTCGTATAATGCATATTAAAGTTCATAAGTGCAGCGCTGCTTTGTTTACAGCCGAAACCAAGGAAACGCTTTAAGCGCCACCTGCTGGCAGAGAGTGCATCTGCATCTCATTCAGCTCCTCTGCTGTTTCTGTTTCATGCCGATATTTTTTATGCATAGTTTCACAAAACTGAAGTCAAACCATTCTGTTTTTGCTTCAAATTTCGAAATTATACAATGTAATTTAGATTAAACACTGCTCATGTTGCATGTATGCAGCATCTTTGTTTGGATCATGATTAAAATGCAGTCAGTGGTTGCCTCTAATTTTAAATGGAAAGAGCACAGACAAAGCCTTAGTTTGTTTATATGAAGAGATTTATTTTATTTGTGTTACTTATTTATTTGATTTGGGGCTTGTTTTAAAATTTCAATTTAGTTTTGTTATTTACATTTACATTATATTTAAATTTTGTTATTTAGCAAACGCTTTTATCCAAAGTGACTAACAAATGAAGACAACAGAAGCAATCAAAACCAACAAAAGAGCAATAATTTAAACACATATATTATTATAGTATTATATTTCAATTTCACAAAGAAACGTACAGTATTTTGTCCAAGCAATAATAAAAGGACACATTTAATTTATAATTTGTCTTAAATCTCATTTAGTAAAAAAAAAATTGTGAATCAAATCGAATCGTGAAATCAAAATCGGGAATCGAATCAAATCGTGAGTTGAGTGAAACCTTCTGCTTCTTTTTCTTCACTCTTTCTCGTCGTCATCTTTCTTTTCTTCAGAAAGATTTGGCTCACCCCTCTGTTTTAACTTTACTGTCCTCTCAGAGTGGTCAAATTCATTTCTCTGTCATTCTTGGCAGATAAAAGCCGTAGTTGTTAATGTGAGGTTCTAAGATGGACTGTTTATTTTGGAGGGATTTTCCAACCATAATTTGTGGCACTTCATTAGGCGTGAGTGTGTTTTGTCAGAGCAGGTGTAATGGTTTGTATATATATGACAGCGTTTCACTGTAAACACTGTTGACTTCATTAGGCTCTGGAGTTCACGGCCGTCAAGCAATGCTCTTTAACGAGAATTTCACATGTTTACATTCTTCATTTGGGGAGTGAGGCAGACAGCGCACCTCTGGTCCTGGCCGAAACCCTGCTGCCTCTGAGCTAGAGATGATCTGACGTGCTAGAAATGTCCTCATACGACAGTATCGGTTAGTATGTGATGTGAATTATGGAATAATTGTGGTGTGGATGCACTTATTTTATGTAAATATAGGGTAAACGTACCCATTAAAATAACGTAATTTACCCATTAAGCACACTTCCATATTTGAGCTCAGATTATAAAAGACAAAATAATGTATTATCATACTTGATGTCTTAACCAATTGATGTGTTTGTTACTACATACCTCCTGTAATTTCAAATCAATCAGATCAGTGCACGCTGAGATAGGCTAATATAAAAAATTCAGGTGTCTGTGTATGGCTTGTTTGTGCTTTTGAGAACACTTAGTAAATCCTGACTGTTGTCATTTTCTACTTTTTGACTCTTTGACTCTACTTTTTAATTGATGGCTGGTTGCGGTTTTTAATTGTGCTCCACATCCACGATTCCCAATGAATGCTCTGTGTTTGTGCTCTGTTTGTTTGTGTTTGTGTGTGTGTTGTGCGGGGAGGGTATCTTAAATGAACATCCATTGTGGAGTACAGCAACACAAAGCACAAAAGAAGAGGCAGATTGAGCTGTTTGTCTGTAGGACTCATTTGACCCTCAGCTGTCCTAGAGGAAAATTTTATTGCTCAGAGGTCGCTCTATCAAAGCTTGTTTCATTCAAATATCAACTTTGTCTTGGATGTTTCCTCTGTCCTAGGAAGAAATAGAAATAGACATTGTAAGGATTTGATGAGAGATGTTTGAGTTTATTGAGATTTCTGACTTTTGATTGAGACTTTGGTGTTTTGGCAAATCTGAAAACAGTTTGATACCGTGTTTAGATCTCTATGTAACTCCAGAGGAGACACATGCGAGATTTCTGGGGACTTTTTCTCAGAAGAAA